CATAGAACTTCAACGGTACGCTTCCTTTTAATCCTGTCCTCTTCGGTAGTCTTTGGCTCACTCCATGATCTTATATAAACTCTCATCTATTCTTCACACGATCTCTTTCATGTTACTGTCGGACACACACGCAGTTTGTTGTTTTTTCCCTTTGGTTCCACTTGAGGGCCTACTGCATGGTATTAATCGACGGCGTCCTGGGAGGATGTTCAGTCCATCCCCCATTTTCTTTGGCATAAGTGTTGGGCAATAGATTCTTGATTAGTTTCTTGCAAAAGATTTCCTTGTTGCTAATCTTTCTGGTCATCCTGTCTTCAGTAAAGAGCTGGTGAAAGCAGATGGGGATGAAAGTCTGAAACCTGCCGAAATACTTTTCGTGGTGTACTAAGTCGCTAAACCATACAGAGGAACAGACCTGACATTAATGTTGAAAAGCGGAATCTCGTATTTTATGCTTAGTGCAGTGTATTTTCAGTCTGATTTCAAATTACTGAAGATTTGCCTTGCCTTTTGCAGTCCTACCCTTAACATCTGCATCCATGCAGACTGTAGGTGAACAACAATGATGCCTAGATAAGTGAATATAATGATTGGTAGTTGTTGTTGTTGCTGCTGGTTAGGTTTCCTCATCACCTCTGTCCTCTCCATGTCCACTTGAATTCTTGTCTTCACTGCTTCTTCTGCCAAATTGTTGATTTTCGCCAGTAGATTTTCGAGATTTTGTATGACACTAAACACAAATCGCTCACAAAGTCCACATGGTACATGCAATCAGATTAAAACAACACCTGTACCACGAAAATTTTTCTGTCATGAAAGTCGGGCAGTACAAATTAGATGAAATATTAAAAAAAAAAATTGTGGGTTTAAATTCGTACAATTACAAAGATATATTTGAATAAAGCAAGAACAACAGTGGTTTGTGCAGAATAATATGGTACCAACACTGCTTATTTCGTTGGCTTCTCATCAGCTGCTGCCTACAGCCTAAATAAATTATGAGGTTTACGTACAGTAAAGTTTTAACATACCTGCAAATTTTACATGATGTCAGTTGACAGAAAGTTCTGCAATTAGTGAACCGTGTTCAGAAAATTGCGCTTATATAGTCTTTGCACAGGCAGTTCAAGTTTAAACCAAATAAATGAATGCATACAATGGTAAAGGAGTTGCTTAATAAAGATGAAAGATGCGTAAGATGCTGAGTGACTAATAAATTAGGTAACAATGTACTGAGTTCAACTCAAATCATAGAAACAAGAGACAAGCAAAATTACAAATCATAAAAGGGGTGGGGTTAAAGACAAAGATTACGTAATCAGATGAGAGAATAAAGACATCCATTTACCAGAATGGGCAAGGAAGGACTAATAACTGCTTCTTTCTTAACACATAAATCTGGTTTCAAGCGTTTGATAGAAATTGCTTCGCCAAACTTGAGGAGAATGAAGCTCCTTTGTTTATTGATAATTTTAAAGGATTTCTCGACTTCCACCTCATGACACGTGTCGAGGAGTGTCTGGTAATAGCGCTAGTATGAGAGTTTGTTCCTATAAGACTAAGGCTTCTTGGCACATGTTCAGAAAATCGGATGTGTTCCCCTCTTTCTGTTCTCCCAATTTAGCTGTTCCCACAGATACACCTAAATTTGTATACACAGTTGGAGGTAACATGAGAAGGGTATCTATCGACTTTTGACTGAACCAAGCAGCACGTTGTTCGATGGACGGGAACCAACTTAGCTACAGGATAGGCTCTGGCTAATGACGTTCTCAGTCTTTTGTTGACCATTTCTGCAATGTCTTCACCTTTAAAATCTAGTTGAATGAAGACAGGCTTTTTTCAACTGTGATTTGTTTGGTATTTGAGCCTTCACATCTTCCATATTTGTTAATGAATCTTTGAGGATAACCGCTGTTTTCCAGCACCTTTTCGAGAATCATAAATTCTTCCTCTAGTTGCAAACAACAACGTTGTCCGACAAATAGTACTTTAACCTAGTGTGATATATCAAATATTTACATCAGTTACGTAATTGTTCATACTGTTTATGTGATAGTTTCTTGGTTTACAACAAGTCACACTGATACACTTTCATTCACATTTCTGTATCAGTATATCTATTGCCTTCAAATTACTATGTTCACCACTCACTTCTGATATTTTCTATCAGCTACCGGTAAGAATTCAGTTTAAAATAGGAATACAGGATCTGTATAAAATTCATTAATTTTAAGTTACTTTCTAATACCAACTGAGATCAATCATATTAATACATGCATAAAGCGTGGTAATACATAATTCTATATTAATTTGTGTATTGGATATATATATATATATATATATGGGAGCGTCGGTGGTACAGTGGTTAGGACGCCCGCCGACCATGCACAAGGTCCGGGGTTCGATCCCCGGCCGACGAACTCCTTTACCTCGCTAAGCCAGAAATAATGCTGGTAAAGAGGAAAGATTGGGCCCATCCTGTAAAAATAAAAACTGCTACAGAAACTTCAAGCCACTAGCTTGAAGCTCTATGTTCCACTGGGAACGTGAAGGAAAAATTAAAATTATATCACACAGTTTATTTTACTCTTCCACATAGAACATAGCTTTTTAAGCTTGAGTTTTGAAGTTTCAGAAGAAACGGTGTGAACTTGCTAGTCTCGCACCCAACCTCACCTCCCTACCACGTTTACTAACGGATAAATGAGGTTTAAGAGTACATTGGTGGGGATCGAACTGAGGGCCAGGGAGGTGGTTGGGAAGCATTCTATTACTGAACTACTGACTCAGATATCACACAGTTATCTATTGGATAAAATTTCTAACGCAATTTATTGTTGGTTGTGTTCTCTGAGTTGGATAGTTAATTTGTAAGGCTTTCGTTACCCTAACAGGCATCTTCAGCGCAGCGCTTAGTAGGCCAATGTTAACTTTGCAAATTAACTATCCAGCTGAGAGAACACAACCACATCAAAATCATCCACCTGAGCTACAAATCTTCTCCATCATACAACAAACTCTGTTGTTGAAAAGTCGTCTAGTAAATAGTAGTGTTCAACTGTGTGATTTTTCCATTTAACAAATTAATGTGCAATTTCGAACTGAAATCAGATACTAAGTCACTGAAACTAAATGAACGTCTTGTTTTGACGCCTTGTAGTGGTGACATAATGTGAGATCAAGTTGAGAACTGCGCTATCCCATAATAGGCGAATAAATATTAAACCACTGGTTTAGTAAATGATATCGTTTATTTTTTGTATCTCTGTCATTTCAAAAACAATTAATTCTTCACAAGATTTAAACTGAATAACAATCTCATTCCCATGAATTCTTTAAAGTTGCAATAGGGAACTTTGATCGGCGTAGTTAGTCAAATTGAATTTAGGAGTACTTCACTGTTAGTGTGAACAAATGATTACTGAGTTATTTCATAAGGTAATAGAAGTAGAGAAATAATACTCACCCAGTAACTTATTGATCGTGTACTTGCTGTTGGAAAATGTGACATTCGCGCGTTTGACACCATTTAGTGTCAAGGGGGTTTAATCCTGGATAAAAGCTCACTCAAGTGGTGTGTGTTTTTCACTGGTGATCTAGATGTTATCTGTTTTGTAACGGGGACAAATTCAATATTTGGACGAACATAGGTACACATTTTTTATTGTAAAATATATGACAAAGCGTCTGCTTTTAGAAAGTTTTACTTAAAAGGATCCCTAAACAGTATTCATCACCATCATTCATCACTATGGAGTAATTTTTGCATAGTTTCTGTTGCTAGTTTTGGACTAATTGAAGTATATAATGCTGTGACATCAAAGGACACCATTATTTCATTGTCTTCTACTTGAATGTTTTTGATTTTCTCTAAAAATTGGATTGATAAATTGGTAGAATGGTTGCATGATTCTGTTAGGTAATTTAATTTCCTGAAAAGTTCTTTAGATAGATTATATGTTGGTATTCCTGGAAGCGAAACGATTGGTCGTAAGGGAACGTTTGGTTTGTGTGGTTTTGGCCTACCATAGAATCGAGGTAAAATAGGTCCGTTAGATTTCATTCGCCATTGATGTTGTTTTGTAATTTGTCTTGATTTCGTTAGTTTATTTAACGTTGTTATGATTTTTTTATCTAATGTTTGTATAGGGTTTTTCGTCAACTGTTGATTTACATTATTATCTTTGAGTAAATCCTCTGCTTTCTTTATGTTGTCTTCTGTATCCAAGATTACTGTAGTTCTTCCTTTATCAGCCGGTAGAATAACTATATCTTTTCTATTCTTCAGTTTCTTCAATGCATTTTGCTCTTCGCTGCTTAGTTGGGAATTATGTCTTTTCTGTTTGAATATATGCATGATATATTGACACATTTCTTGTTGTACTTCCTCATTTAACCCTGATAATTTGAGTGATGATTCTAATGAAGCACAAAAATCTCTTAGTGAAGCGTCACCAGTATTGTAGTTGAGTCCTTTCTGAAGAAGTTCCTCTTCTGTTTTCGTTAACTAAAAGTTTGACAATTAAATAAGCTTTACATGAGATAAGGATGAATTCAGCTTATTACCAGCAGAAGGTGTGTAGGGGACTGTTACTTGGATATAATGTTTAAAGTCCGCTGCTACAGATTATCAATATAATCCACAGAAGCGTTCAACTGTTGGAATTGCGTCTGCTGGTAGATGCTGTGGACCGGTTGTACAGTTGTCTTCGGATAAGGATAATAGACTCCTGTAATAAATCCAAAGTATACAACACGGTATGAGTGGAGTAAGTTAGCAGTAATGGCCAGTGAGAAGGCAAAGCTACCAACAGTATGGTGTATTTCAAATTGTACTCAGAAGTTATATATATTTTAACATGAATCGTTTTGTACAAAAATCATGTACACTGTCTCTAATTTCTACAACAAAAGTGTACAATCATATTGTTACGTACTCCACAGGTGTATTTCCCCTACTAATTAAACGCATATACATACATTACTTTTTATTTTAGTCCACAAGTGTTTTTCAACCGGAAATCTGGTCACTCAAATGTCAATATACGTACGACTATTTCATGCCGTCAATCTACCCCACCACCACCGCCACTACCACCTCAAACACCTCACAGATCGCCAAATACCAAACTTCATTTCACGTTAACAAGAAGTAATCCATTACAGACTGAAAAATGTCAATCAACAATTTATGATGAAATTCCTGAATGCTTTTTACAAGATCAAAGTCATCTTACAACAAAACCTAATACTTCTTTTTATGATCCATACAGTCAATTAGAATATGATATATTAGATACAACAATAGGCATGAAAAGTTCCAATGATCAGGATAGAGGGGATTACAGTAACAATACTACTGATGCTAATGGTAATAACGATGCACAGGGAATACAAAACAAAACATTTTGTCAAGATCAACCGTCTACTTCATTGTTGCCTGAAAATTTCTTTCAAGAAGCAGATGTATTTACAACAAAATGTATATATCTTGAACCTAGACGTAATATACGAATATAATGGAGACCAGTTTTTTTTAAATCATGCTTTATATGAACCTTTTTGTTTATTGATTTCTTGATAATTGATGATCTCATTGTAATAATCATGATATAATAGATTGAATTAATTCACTTAAAATTGGTCACCGAATATATATTCATTTTCTTCACATTTATACATATAAAAGACAACAGTCATTTTTCCACTGAAATCATTTTTGTTTTCTAATTTAAAGTGATCTTGCAATTATCTTTCAGTAGGTACTTTTATACTTGTTTTTCTACTGATGATTTCTACTTACAATATATGTATTTATTTATAATGTAATACTGTATTACTTATTAAATGAAAAAGTAGTATCTTGAGTTAAAATGCATTTATAAACTTTTTATAACGGGCTATGTGATAGATGCCAGGAAATGAGTGAATTTTAAACGAAAATTTATTTGTACAACTTTCTTGGGCTACATTTCAATTGATGCTAAGCTCCTTTATGAACGCTTAAGTACGCAAGCTATAAATAATATTATGCTCTGTAAGATGGTAGTTACTGGTGTTTTTTCAAGTAAGATCATTCTTTGCTTGTTGTGGATACTATCCATGAGTACTGATTGGTATCATAATGATGTATTGGTACAGCCAACTAAATATCAAGTGGAAATTTTTCCAGTACTCATCGCTAGAGTTTCAGCAGTCCTTACATGTTTCAGTGAGAGATGTTATCAGAAAATTTGAAATTCGTCGATACTAAATGGCGCTAGTCTGTACTATACCTAAAAAGAAGTATAGTCTTATAAGTTGCTGTATCCCAACTCATAACCTCAGAGCTATATCACTGCAGAGTTCTGGAATAGGATGAAACATCTATTCACTACGTCTCGATTTAGAAGAGATCGGTGTGTAGTGTGCATTGGACCTTTGAATTTTTGTTTCAACTCACTCAGTCATTTTTTGGCGCCACGTCACTTCACTTCCTGTACGTTTTGGTGCTTGCATGCTTGCTCCCTCACTGTGCTCTTTTACAGGCACACTCATCGAGCTCGCTACTCCTCTCGGCACAGATAAGTTGCAAACCTTTTTATATTACTAAATTCTAATCACATTCGTAATAAATACACATATGGTTACAGGCACGTTGCGAATCCTTTTTATTTCTGCTCTTCACTCGTTCCTCAGTACTTACAGGATAGGCAGAGTACTGATTAAGACCTAGGTAAAAGAAATTAGTCTTTTTGTAAGTGTGACAGGCGAACTCACCTAGGGATAAGATCACGCACTTACAGGTGAATCATGCTAACGCCATGCGGAATTTACCTTCAGTAAAAAGATTTCCTACTGGCTGATCTCTAATATCAGACGCCTGACTATGTTTTACTACAATCTCATTCCCCCAAGTTGGATGATCACATTTCCAATTCGTTGTGTAGATTGTGGGTACTAATGAAGACTAAGTGCCTATGTATACATTTCCCACCACCAGAGAACTAGCTCCCATGTAGAATCAAGTTTTACAGGGACTGACTTACAATGGCAGATCAATTTAACAGAATGGTTATGAAGTTAGAAAACTCTATTTCCCTGTTATCTCTTAAAAATGTTTTATGTTTAAGGGCAATCAGCAACATATTGGTATGACATTAGTTATACCTCAATCAATGAATCTAATCTAATGTACCCCAATTTCTCACCATCTTAAAATAAAAATTAATTTGAAAGCTAAAATAACTGAAGTCTCAAACTAAGTAAAACGATCTAAGACAAGTAAAGCTATTTAGTGGAGGCAGAATTCGGCTGGAAAACTAAAAACACAACTTTATGCAACCAATGAAATCAGTCACTTATGTGGTTTATTTTTCCGAGTATGAGTAATGCGTACATATAATGCAGTTTTGTCTGACGAAATGATTCGCCCTAAGCGGTACAGATTAGTCTGTCTTCTCCCTGTTAACACAGACGAAAGAAGAAGAATATATTTGGTATTCAGCCTTCATTCGGTTTACGTACTGCACCTTGGTGTCACACCCGAATCCCAGCATTTTTATTAGCAGACATATAAGGCTGAAGTGGTTTACATATCGGCATGGCTTCAGTATGAATTCAGGAACAAGTGTATGTTATGACACACATATATATATATATATATATACTTTAGTAAAACACAAGGATAGCAATGTCTAAGTTATACTTTGGGAAGAACAGTGGCAGTCTTGCCATTGGATGAAATAAAAAGACCTCTCCAACCCAGTATTTGGAGGCATATGACCGCGTTGCATGAAGAAGAAGAATGTATCAGTGAATAATGCGTGGTATCAAAAAGTGGATTACATTAAAGTTAAAGTACATATTTAGAAGTCAACGAATATTTTGATTAGACACTAGTAACTAGTGTGACGTTTCTAGTCCTTTCTTTTTGGTGCAGACTGAATTTTATCAGTCAGGTTGGCAATGTGGCCACCATTCTAGGTAGCTGGATATCACGGTGCAGATACGCCTTGCTGATGAGTGCCAACTTGCACGAAACCTGGGTCCAAGGCTTCCTGCCGATTACCTCCAACCATCTAATATCATCAAGTCAACGAATATGTTAAATATGTACACTCGTGGTAAATTTTGTCAGCTGCCATACTATTTAAAAGTCAATTTTATTTGTATTCAGTTTTGAAAGCGAATATTATAAATAATGCTGCCTTTATTAAATTCTAGACTTAAATTTAATAAAGTGAATTTCCTCCTCTTTCTGTAGGTATATGCATTTCATACTGGTGTGAAAAAACTATATTTTTATAATTTTAGAGAAATCACTACTTTGCATTTCGCAAGAAGACAAAATGAACTTGACTACTGAATGCCATCTGAATAAATGACTGTTCATAAGTTTACGGGAGAATAAAATGCTGAAAGGTAGACATTGTGCTGATACAAAACCCATGGTGTTAAGATGAGAAATACATTTTCAAATGTAGCTGTCCATGTCATTAACGAGTATAGCATCCCTTAGTATTCGTTCATTGTTTATTATACAATTTTCACTTGATGCATAATGGCTCATATAGGAATATATATATTCCCATATATATATTTGGAGGTCTACAACCTCGCTCATTTCACTAGTTTACTAGGTGGTCCCAAGTCTGGTAAAACTGGAAGGCTAGTGATCCGACCGCGAAAAACCAATCCACTTGCTACAGAACCTCCAAAATACAGCAAAAATAAACTTATTCTTTTCTGAGATCCGAGAGAGAAAATGACGTAGGTTAGGCATATATTACAGGAAGCCAATGTGTCTTGTACTGAGTGAAAATAAGCACGAGGACACGGATTACCTTACTTATCTTTGAAGCTGGGAAGTTTGCGTAGACTTCAGAGTTAATGAAAAGATATGGTACGGAAATGCTAGGAATATGGGAAAGTAGATGGACTGGAAGTGGACTCCATAAATTTTTAAATGCACAGTCAATTAGCTACTCCGAACACTCACACCATAACGATGACCACACTTCAAGGAGTGGCTACCATGATGTCATTAGTGGTAATGAGGACTAATATGTAGTGTGGACTGATCTCCAGCAGGATAATGACAGCATAATATACAGATGGACTTCACTTCACGGTCTGAAGACATTAGGAATAAAGGCTGGTCGACACAAAACAAGAAATGTAGGAGATGTAGCCTCAAACTACAATTTGGTTTAGAGATCAGGTGAAAAGCCTTCAAGGCAGCTGCAAACAAACAGCGATTAGCATTCAACACTCAGAAATGAAGGAAAAAGCTAAAGTAGACTTTTTCATTATAGCCATCGGGGAAAAGTCGGAAACAATAGGCAACATCACCGAGGAAACACATGAAAAAACTAGAACTCTCTGAAAGTGACATTGAAAGAAAACCCTCAGGGAGGAAAAAGAAGCAAGATAAAGAATGACTCTCTCTCTCTCTGGATACACTGAACCGAAAAGAAAAGAGAAATGTGGCGAAACGGTAGACCAAAAGTGAAAGAAGCTGAATGCAATCTTTAAAAACATCGGACAATTGAGTAAAAAGTGCTACGATAATTTTTCGACACCCCATACACTAAAGAAGGACAAGCCATAAGTAAGAGACATCTTGTAAAACTTAATCAGAGAACCGGGTCGTTGCCAGGGAAGCGATCAGCATAGGTGAAACCAATGAAACATATAGGTGAAAACAAAGGAAGCAATGAGACTGTAGTGCACATTGTACCTTTGAACTTTTGTTTAAACTGACTCACCCACGGTGATCCACGTTTTACCTTTTGACTTGTGAGTCTTCCTTACGTTCATAGGTTCGCTCTCTTGTTGTGCTCTCCTTCTGCACACTCTCCGAGCCTACCTCCAGCAACGTCTGCAGATAAGTTGTACGACTTCTTTATTTATTGAATTTTATATTTCGTCGAATAAAATATAATTCTCCCAGGTACTCTTGTCACATCAAGTCTTTTTACAACGATACAGTTCGTCAGTATTTGCGCGTCCAGTAGTGTACTGCTAAGCTTAGTAGGTCGCCAAAACGGTGAAGAAGTTTGTAAGGGTGTTTAGAGTATAGGTCCACTCTAAGCCGTAGTAGAACTCTTACAAGTGGTGAGCCCGTTTTCACCGTTTTCCGCTATAGTAGTTTAACGTGTTAACGATTCTTTTTACGTACCGTTTATTTTGTTATTTTTTTTCCTTTCACGCACGGTTATAAAGATTCGATTTGTTTTCTTTGTACTTATATTGGTTTTTTTATCACCTTGTTAATATTGTGCCCTGTGTGCAAGATGGCTGACAACAGTTCTGCGTCAGAGATGGCTATAACGCTGCAACTCCCCGCCTTCTGGACACATCGTCCAGCTGCATGGTTTAATCATATAGAGGCTCAGTTTGCCATTAGACACATACACTCACAAGAGACCAAAGTAAACCACGTGATTGTGAGCCTACCCGAAAGTGTCATAGACGAGGTGGCTGACGTTCTCGCAGATCCGTCTCCGGATCGGTACGAGCGGCTCAAGCAGGCGTTAATTCAACGAGTCGCACTTACTGACCAACAGAAAGTGCAGGAACTTTTCCGCGATGTTCAGTTAGGTGACCGCAAGCCCTCACAAATGTTGAGGCAGATGAAGCAGCTAGTGGCGGACTTTAAAATTGACGAGGTTTTTCTCAAACAACTTTGGCTTCAAAGATTACCTCAGGCAGTCCAGGGTATCTTAGCACCGATCTACAAGTACCCCTTACAGGAGATAGCCGAGGCAGCTGATAG